AATACTTATTTTTGTTATAGCTGATACATAATTTGAAGACTAAGAGCCTCAGCTGATCAATTGCTTCTGCTCTATGCGTATTATTTATTGTAATTCACTCATGGAATACCTTAGCAAGCAAATGATTTTTTTTAGATATCTGACATGTTTTTATCGAAATTTTTCCATTTATACACTTACAGATCGGGCAGCATTGAAGGGGTTTCGCCAACCTCCACTGGTCCCAATCAGATATCGTCGCTGTCTAGCAGCGTGACAGCCGCTGCTGGTGGCAGCGGCGGTGCCATTGACAGCGGTGCCGCTCCAGTTGGCACCTGGAAGCTGATCAAGGGCAAGGTCTCGCAAACCATCGAAGAGATTAAATCGTCCAAGCATCATCAGCATCAGCAGCCGCAACAGCAGCATTCCGTCATTCCAGTTATTGTAGCGGAGCCAGCGACCACAGTCGGTTGGACCAACGACCCCGACTCGGATACGGAGTGCGTGACGATCAATACGACAAACGTTGCGGAGGAGCCGCTCGCTCTCCACCTCTCAGAGAAGCAGCACAACTCCGACTCGGACGCGGAGATCGAGCTAGTGGACAGTAGTTCCCTGGGCAGCACAGACGTCGGACCCGCGCCTGTGGCCATTTCCACGGAACGATCGCGTCTGCGTCGTGGCATTGCACACATCAAGTCGCGAGTGAAGGCCAAGCAACAAGCCGCTATGAGTAAGAAGGAGCAGGAGAAGAGCGCGACCACCAGCTCCGAATCTGTGCGTAGCAGCTTTTTGCGACGTCGCAATCCACCTGAAGATCAGACGGAGCCAGGCAGATCGAACCAGGATGCTAGCAGTGCATCCGAAATACCTGTGACCAGTGGGAAGGTGAAGCGTGGCATATTGCTCGCCAGCAAGGATGCGGAAATTGAGTCGGGTGTGGAGATGCTGGAGGACATGGCGCCCACAACGAGCGCTGAATCCAACATGGCGACCCCGGCTGGAACTGGAACTGTCCATTTCAACGAGGACCCCGTCATAGTGCGTCGAAGTGCACTACAACTGCCCCTGGATATCGACAACAGACCCCAGTTCAGTGGTGCTTCCTCGCGTAGCCAAGCCCCAGGCGACGGCACAGAGCAATCGCTATGGAACAAAGTGAGGAACTTTACCGCTGACAACTGGAGTGGCGCTGCTACAGCTCGGCCCCTGCTGCTGTTGGGGGCCAGCGGTATCGCGGTGATGCTTTTGCCAATGCAGGACTTTTGGCGTGGCGTCCTAGTCACAATGTTGTTCATTGTGACGATCAACTATTTGAGCAGCTATGTATCCTATCTGTTTGACACTCTGGTGCTCGGCGTACATCCGGAGCGTCGTCCATTCCAGATACCCAACTACGAGGGCATGCCCATCTGTGAGATACCCGCCGCCGAGGAGCACAAGACCGTCAAGACGTATTCGGGCTGGCTGAATGAGTGCGATAGCTACGATCCCAATACGTTCTCCTTCTCCATGACAAGATCAGTCTACGTTCGTTTGGATGGCACTATCCTAAAGCTCTCCGGCACCAATGCTCGCATACCCAAGCGCCGCATGTGGAACGAGAAGCCCATTGATCGCAACAAGATTGTGTTTGTCGATCATCGTTCTTACGACATGCGTGATGCACGCATCGAGCTGTTGCCCGTGGGCCTGGCCAGAAAGCGGTAAGTGCTCACCTTAAGGAAGACCTTTCCACTTACTCATCCAAATGCCTTGCCTTTGCAGCTTCTTCAATCGAAAGTATCCCATACAACTGATTGTGAAGAGTGGCTGCAGTGGGATGCAATCGCCCAGAACGGACGACGACACGTCGGATACCTGGCCCAGCACAATGGCCACGACACCCAATGAAACGATCAAACCTCTCGAGTTTGCCAATACAGTTATGATGGCTGATGTGAGTCTGAAGTCTGTAGCTCTGCCGATGTTGCTCAACTGAATCTGTTTATTTTACAGCTTCGTCAGCTGCATAGTGCACGAACGCCCGATAACGATTTGAAGGACATAACGATGCCTTGTGGGGATGAGGTTCGTCTGCTTATTTTTGCGCGCTGCGATCGAGAAAAGGAGGACTGGTACCGTCGCTTCCGGGCTGCTAGTTCTGGCCGTGTACATGAATCGGATCTACAGGTGCCCATGGCACAGTTTGTGGAGGACAGCGATCTGCAGGCAGTCGCCGCCCAACAGGCCATCAATCTGACTAGAGCACCAAAGGTGAGCGCTTGCGTTGATTCCAAAGGCTCCCAAATTCCTAATCTAATTAAATCTTTTTTTAGAGCGACGATGTTTCAATAATGTCCGATGAGACGGGCACCAATACGCCCGATGCCGTGGAAGAGACATTGGACGTGGATGCCACGCCCGACCGCGGAAACGACGGCTATGAGGGCCTCATCATGAGCGCCGATGCAGCCAGAAATCCGGCGGATTATATTAAATTCATGGCGACCTACCAGGTAGAGAGTCATATTGACCAAGGCTAGCCGACCTTTTGTTTGTTATTTAATTTACTTTTCGGTTTGATTTCGATTTTGATTTCCATATGAGTTTCTTTTTTATTATTTTTATCTTAGAATGCTTGCAGTCAGAGCACAATTCCTGTTATACGTCCGCACCATCACAGGCACGGAGATCACCGTAAAAGAGTAGGTCTCGATTTTTATTTGATTCATTTCCAATATAATTTTAAATCGATTATTGGTATCCATAACCATAATTATTTGTCGATTCCTAACTTCTTGCTATCTTTGCAGAGCCGAAGATCTAGGCGGCAGGAGAACGAGTTGTGGAAGGGCATAGACCAGTCTCTATTCCTGGGCCCCTCTGGCAGCGTGGTGTGGGCAAATGTGCTGATGGGTCGCTGCCTTTTTAGCTGCCTGAACAATAATGAGTTGCGTTTAAAGATTCAGGACTTTATGCAAAAGAAACTAAATTCCATAAAGGTGAGTTGCGACAGCTCCGATTTCCCAGACTTGCTCATCTCTACTGCGTTTTTCAGCTGCCCAGTTTTATGGAAGAGGTGATTATAACCAATATATATTTGGGCGAGTCGCCCATGCTGTTCCATCGCATATCGCAGCCAATGCTGGATGAGCGCGGTGTCTGGCTGGATGCCGATATGACCTACGAGGGCTTCGCCAACATTACAGTGACTACCAAGTTGAATTTGTTGCGCGTGCGCAGCAAACCCAAAGCGTCGCCGGTCAATCCGGACGTCGCGTCACAGGATTCATCAGCGGACTTTCGCGGTGGAGCCGACGATATTCAAGCCGATGGCAGTCAGTCGATTTTCGACAGCGATGCCGAGAGCACGGGCGGCTCCTCAACGGAAACGGAGAGTCAGGCGTCGGGTCCAACGGCTGAGAATGCAAACAATGCCGAGTAGGTGTTAAAAAGCCATAAATGTTGGAAAAATCTGAAACTGTTTTCCCTTTCCATACTTGCAGGTTCTTTCAAAACTCGCCGGGCAATGCGCGTCGCATCTTTAAGATTGTGGACCGTATAGCCACATCGAATCTATTTCAATATGCCTCAGAGCTGCCCTACGTCCAGCGAGCGATGGAGAATATGAGTGCGAACATAACGCTGCGAGTGGATCTGAAAGGACTGGTGGCTAGGGGCACATTGAATATACCGCCGCCGCCATCAGATCGCATCTGGATGTGCTTTCGCGGGCCGCCACGTCTGTGGATATCGACGAAGCCTCAAGTGGGCGATAAGTCGGTGGATTGGTCCATTGTAACGAATGTGATTGAGAGCAAGCTGTGCGAGGCAGTAAATAAGTTTTTGGTCTATCCCAACATGGTTGACTTTTCGATAGCATTCCTGGCCAAGCCGACGTATGGCGAGGAGCCGCCAGCTTAGTAAACTTAGCAAATGTTTTCTTTTATCTATTATTTGGCAACAACTATACTAATATATATTTAGAATTCTTTGTCATCGTATTTCCAACAGAAACCATCACGATGTGTTTAAACGAATATTTTGGGCTAAGCTTTGTTATTTTCGATCTCGCTAAAAGTGTTTTACTATATAGAAGTACTTAACCATAAATGAAAAATTCCCATTGAATAATTTAGAACGGTATAATGTCTTTTTACTTTATGTTTCACCCAACAAACCTGATATTTTGAAGCTTATAACCACCAATTTTATATATTTTTATAACTATTTTTATACACATACTGAACAAATGATTTCCGTTGAATGAATATCTGTTTGATGAAACATTCTTTCTTTTCAACTATTTACTCATAGTATTCCAAGCATATGTATAGATACATATGGATATATATATATATATCTTTATACTGCAACAATTACATATATATGTATGAATATATTCCGCCTAGTTCCTTAAGTCTATTCCAAGCTACTCTTTAAGCATGCGTGTGAATTTTAACTGCTTAACCATAAGCTAAAAACAAACTCAAGATTTTGACTCTGATTTTATACATTCACTAAGTAGCATACGTATTTATACAGATGCGCCAAAGGATAATTAATCCGAGCATGAACAAATAACTCATATATCATCTACAAGGCTGGCCGAACAACACGTAGAGGGTCGTTGCAAATTGACCTTCTCTTTCCAAAACTGAACAAACAATAAAACTTAAGCTAAAGTATGAAAACATATATATATATTTTATGTAAATGTATGAAATATAAATAAATAGATGGTTATTGATCCATTAATTGTGTCTGAGATTTCTTAATTTAATCTAAAAAAAAAATCTAAATGGGAAAGTTTATAAAAATTCAAACCAAAATCGAGGTTCTAAACTTCTTCAATAACTTTTAAAATGCATTAATTTTTTATGTTTTGTTTATTTAATTTTTTTATTATTTTTTATTTTTAATTCACGTTGAGAAATTTACATTTTAAATTTGTTGTATTTTGGAATTTATTTTCCCTGGTTTTGTTTTTTTTTTTTTTTTTTGTTTTTCATATCTTTTATTGTTTATATGTATATTTATTCAATTTTCAGTTAGGGGGATTTCGCTTGCTTTCAAAAGTACATTAAGTAAACTACAGACACGTGTTTATAATATGCATTAATAATAGTTATGTATATATATGTATATTTATATATGATGTACGTGTAAATGTGTATACATATATATAAATATCTATATATATATATATAGAATTCAAAAATGTACAACATTCATTTTTAACAAAAAAAAAGAGCCTTGCACGTGGATGTTTCGCGTCCGCTCAATACGTAGTTAAAAACTTGAATATAGCCATAGCAAACAACTAAAATTAGAACTTAAATATATATTTTTATATATATATATATATATATATGAAGGACTTACGATCTAATACACAAAGTACAATATTTCTATATTGAAAATCGCAATTTCGATTTCGTTAAGATGTGTTTCAAAATTTTTCAATTTTATTTCGCTTTCGCTTTCTTGTTTCTATTTTAATATTTGTTGTGATGCATTTGAGTGGTTTTTGCCGTTTGCTTCGTCTGCGAAGAGTCAGCGTTGCACATGATTATTTTTAAATGAAATATTATTAAAAATTGTTACATATATATATGTAGGTGTGTGTACATGTGTGTGTGTAAGTGTGTATGTATGTATGTATATAGTAGAATACTACTTAAGAACTAAAACTGCTATCAAAACAGGTTTTTATTTTTCGATTCATTCACAAATAAATATGCGTAGCAATATTTTTTTCTCTTTGTATCTTCCCTCAAAAACGCTTTCCATTTCTTCAATATTTTCTGAGCAACATTTCTAGCAAAGTGATTAAATATTTTTGTTTAACTATCTTTCATTATTTCATTATGTTTTCTTCAAGTTTTTTTTTTTTTTTTTTTTTTTTAAGAGTAAAAGTTTTTTTTTCTATTCTTGTGTGAGGGCTGGGAAATGCATTTAAAGTTTTTGAGCACAACTCAATTTTCGTTAGGGTTGTTGTTGTTGTTGTTGTTCAATACTCTCTTTAGCGGTTTCCATTCACTGTCTTCGTTTAATTGGAATGTCCTGTTATCTGTGTGTGTGTGCTTTTCTTCACTTTCTTTTTGGCTAGTCTTAACAGTGAACTCAATTTACAGACGCATATCGTCGTATTTGGCAAATGCTTTGCATAGCGCAAAGGCGAGTATGACCAGCACCAGGTGGGCAATGCCGGTGACAATGACGGCAATGATCAGCTCCCTTTGCCGTATCAACCACTCAGTGAAGACCTCATAGCAGCCCTGCAATCAGATCGAGATATTGTGAAATAGTTCAGGTGATCTAGCTGAGCGAACTTCACTCACCTTCATGTAGTAACTGTTGCTCTCGCTGGGATTGGTGGCGCAGTCCTCGTCGCGCGGCACCAGCTGTGCGACGTCCTTCAGCCTGCAGCAGGCATCGGGTATGGTGCGATTGCCTTTGGTATTCTTCCACGCCTCCGACTCATCAAAGTCGCGATAGTCATTGACGCCGCAGCAGCCAAAGTTGCCCATCAGCTGGTTCCACATCAGCGAACTGGCGTCCATGTTCTCGCCCAGCGTGTAGGTCGTGATTGTTGTTTGCAGAAACTTTTTGCTCTCGCTGCGCACACGCTCCTTGTAGAAGATGGCCAGGCCGCCGGCCACCAGCTCGGCGACCAGCAGCAGTATGAGGAGGGTGCCGTACTGTGGAGATTCAACAAAGAAAGAAGCCAATCAGTGTTGGTAAATGGCAAAGAATGCGCATATTACGCATACGCGCCGCTGACCCAATTTACATAGATTTGTATATATACGTATTTATGTGGGCGAGTCGTGCGCATTGCATAAAAAAAAAAAAAAGAGAAGTCTGACCCTGAGCCAAATGTGCAGCATGCGTTAGATACACACACACACGGACACACACATGTGTGTGTGTGTGTTTATGGAGATGTGCGCTGCAGGCCGCGTTGCCAATCTTAAATGCTGAAGGTCAATTTGAAATGCTGCTATGCATGTTTTATAAGCTCTCTTTGCTTTTAGCTACTGCTGCGGCTATTGCTGCGGCTGCTGCTGTCGCGATGGTTTCGGGTTGATAAAGTTCCATGTTCCGCCTGGCAGCATTTTCAGCTAATGTGTCTCAATGAATACGGTTAAAAATAAATAGAATGGCCCCAAACCCAAACCCAAACCCAATCGGTGTTCAGCTCAGCTACGCTGCAGTTTATCATTGAGCATTTATTGCTTTTATGTATCCGAAAACTGAAAGCATTAACATCGGCTCGCAAATGGCATTTTAAAGAGACTCGCGAGACTCCAGAGTGCTGGTAATTGGCGCAACACTCTATAAAAATAACCAATGCTAAGACTGCTTTGGCCATGCTCCGCCACGCCGGCCTTGCCCTCGCTTCAATTACTGCAAATTGTGCTCAATTTTGTGCATACAGATTTCATACATTTTTGCAGAGCATTTCAAACGAAGGGCAAAAGCACTTCGTACGCATGTGACACCCACAAAGCGCCCAGTGCGTTGCCAATCAACTATGGCCAAGCCCCGCTAAGTCTAGCCCCGTTTATAAATAGTGTATAAAGTACTCGTAATGACCAAGCCAAGCCAAGCAAACCCAAGCCGAGCCAAGCCGAGTCAAGCCAAGTGATAAACTGTTTATTAATTGCCGACACACGACGTTGCTTTATCATAGAAATTTCTTTTAGGGTTGGGCCCTCAACAGATATATAGATATCTCCATATATAGTATATATATGTATATATATATGTATTTCTGTGTGTGTGCTTGTGCATCTACATGTTTATTTGTTGCTCAGGTGAAATTACAATTCCAAGCACACAAGTTCAAGTACAGACAGAGTCCAAAGTGAAGGGCTTGTCACGACACTTGTTCAGCGGCTGAAAACACGTTCCGAAATGGAAATGCCAGATGTTAAGATCAGCGAAAAGAAGGCCTACAACATGTGTGTGTATGTGTGTGTGTGTACCCACAACAGCCACAACTTTCTCTGGGTGCCAAACGATTTTCCAGCCAACTGCCGTGAAAAGCCAATAACAAATATCTGATGTTAAGCTATGAAAATTCACAACTTGTTTTCATAAACGTGCAATGAATAATAATTTTTGTTGTATTTGTTGCTGTTGTTGTTATGTTAAATGTCTCCCGCGGCGCCAATCTTGTGATGCAACAGCTCAGATTGGGCAACAGCTGAGCTGAATGTAGCTATGGCTATGGCTGTGTATCTGTGAGTCTATGTTGCTCTCTAAGAATTGTATCTACAGCTGCGGAAGTACTGTATCTGTATATAAACGTATATGTATTTCTTTTTGTATCTGGTGTCTGAAATAGCAGAGATACTGTGTACTCTGTGAGTTACTGATAACCAAGATACTGTATCTGTTTCCGAGTATCTGTATCTGAAATAATGTATCTGTATCTGTATCTGTATCTGTATCTGTATCTGTATCTGTATCTGTATCTGTATCTGTATCTGTATCTGTATCTATGAATTTGTATCTATGTATCTGTATCTGTATCTGTATCTGTATCTATGAATTTGTATCTATGTATCTGTATCTGTATCTGTATTTGTATCTGTATCTGTATCTGTATCTGTATCTGTATCTGTATCTGTATCTGTATCTGTATCTGTATCTGTATCTGTATCTGTATCTGTATCTGTATCTGTATCTGTATCTGTATCTGTATCTGTATCTGTATCTGTATCTGTATCTGTATCTGTATCTGTATCTGTATCTGTATCTGTATCTGTATCTGTATCTGTATCTGTATCTGTATCTGTATCTGTATCTGTATCTGTATCTGTATCTGTATCTGTATCTGTATCTATGTATCTGTATCTATGTATCTGTATCTATGTATCTGTATCTATGTATCTGTATCTATGTATCTGTATATATGTATCTGTATCTATGAATTTGTATCTATGTATCTATATCTATGTATCTGTATGCATCTGCATCTATGTATCTGTGGCTATGTATCTATATCCATGTATCTGTATCTATATACATGCATCTGTGTATTTGTATCCATGTATCTGTATCTTTTTACAAGTCTGTTACAAAAACATTCAAACACTTACCGTGGAGAGCAGACAGCGAGACTCACGCATGGCGCCCAAATAGCCCAAGAGGCTCAAGAAGAACATCACGGCTCCGATGACGAGCAGAACGTAAGCCATTTGCTCTATGACCTGAGTCTGTGTAAAATGCTAAATGAAAAAAGAACAAAGAGAAGAAGAAGAGTTCAGTCAGTCAGAATTGGAATTGAAATTTGTCGTCAGCCACTTTCGGACCGTATGTAAATGCATAGGAATGCGTACGATACGGCGTATACGCAATTGTAATTAACCTTTCGACTGGCGCAGCTTTCGCAACATTTGTAATTAAATTAAGTGAAGTTATCTCAACCAATTGACACACAAATGACAGCTATGACATACTTAAGTGCTCACCAAAGAGCTAAAAAAGAAAAGCGTGTGGGCCATAAATACCTATAAAACATCTACAAAATGAAATTTGAATTGAAAGTTTTTGTCAGAGAAACGCGGTTCATTGACCAAAGCGTGCAACACCCACACAATGCCGCAATAGTTCAGTGAGTCAATTAGCCTTTACATGGCTGCAATTGCAGTTTCTCATTAGCAAAACGTTCAGCGAGGACATGCACTTTGTGCGCCTTGGTGCATTTGTATTCCGAAATCCATTTGTTGTGTGTTCCTGTCTCTGTGGGTTGATTAGTGACTCGAAGCTTCGTTCAATTTGTAACTGTTGTTGCGACATGACATGCAACTGCGCAGCACAATTTACCAATGCCAATAATACCCTTTATATATGTATATATAGTTCATTCTATATATACACCAGAGTCGAACATTTGAGATATTTCATTAGTAAGCAGATTACAGGTAGAAAAAAATGCATCAGCTATGCAATTTCTCTAATGAAGGCTAACCAGAGACAGTTTACTTCTTTTCATTGCTATTCTATTGGAATTTTCTATCCGTCCGCAGGAATGCTTCGCATTTCCTATGACACGGAAATTGCGGTTTGCAATGCCTATCAAAAGTTTAGCTCTCAAATGCGTTGTTATTGTGATTAAAGAGGGTTGTATAGAATTGTATGGCACTTTTCTATGTACTTTTATATGCATGCACTGTATGACAATAATTTTTAATTTTTAATCAGAGCAATGTAATACGATAGTGCAAAATTTTTTAGACTGTTAAGTGACTGATCAAGTTTATTTTTTATGTTCTTTCAATACAAATTATCAAAAAGAAGTTCAAAGCTATAATTTTGTATTTCTCCTAGTCAAACATGGCTAAGCTCTTTATTTTTCTGTATTAAAGCGTATATTACGCATATGTAGCTGCACTTTAATTGCCTAGAGCTACTCTGTCTAATTTTCCATTGGGGCAATGTCAACAATTACTGTGCACGTGATATTGTTTGGGGACTAGTCTGCAATTAGAGCTCAACTATACAAATAGATTGAATATACTGCTATATTTGGGGTTGATTTTTTTTGTCCTGCACATCAGTTACTTATGAAAAATAAAAGTAGGTAATAACATTATAGATTTGGGGATTGGGGTTTCTTTTCCTTTCGTTTTGGGGTGTTTCCCCCTTCGACTTTCGACTGGAATCGGTTATGAATACTCACCTCGATGCGTTCGCTCTCGACGAGCTTCAGCAGAGCAATCAGCGAGTGTTTATCCACGGCCAGCCATAGTCCAACTCCGAATATAATTGTGCCTAGCACCTGCAAGATATCAAGTAGACGAAAAAAGGTGTTCGCAGGTAATTCACATTATGGAAAAGTAACCCTCAGCTTGGCTTGCCATGCAAATTGTAAGCATAAAACACAGAGCGTATACAAAACATGATTGTGTTTATGTTGCTCGGTCATGTTGATTGCATTTCATGTTGTTCATGATTATGACGATAAACAACAACAACAACAGCAATAACAACAGCGAGAGCAACAATTGCTGTCAAGTCAATGAACCGCCACACAAGTGTGGAAAAAACTGCGCATGCGCAGAGATTTGCTTGATTGACTGCAGCCGCGCCTCCAAAAGCAACAATTTGCAATGCAATTTAACCAAAGCCCCACCAGAGAGCGAGAGATAGAGATAAAAAACTGTAAAAATTAAATAAATAATAAATCGAGAAACAAATAAGAGAAAAGCCACAGCTCAAACGGTTTTCCCTTGGGAAATTTTTGCACAAATATGTTTGAATAAATATTTGAAATATTTCTTTTTATGCCTTGTTTAATCAGTTAATTCGCCATTTATTTATTTTTTCGTTTTTGAGCTCTAAATAAAATTTAATTATAAAAAATAATATTTATGGCAAGCAAAATAATAAATAAAAGTATAATTGAAATTATATGAAAGTCATTTATTATTGTTTTTAACTGCTGCTGATAATCGTGAATGAATTTGGAATTGATAATTGATCTAAAAATGTTTGACTTGTATTTCTTAAATTTAAATTTTAAAAAATGATTTATTATTTATTATTTATAAATATATATATATATATGTTATTTTTATTTATTTATGGACAATTATAAATTTATGTGGAGCAAATTAATTGCGACAAATATTTTCTCTAGAGTAAATAAAGATAAAAATGTAAAATATTGTTTATGCTTTGTTGAACTAAATAATTTAACATTAATAAATAGTTTTTAGTTGCTTAATTGCTATTGCCTTTTGGAGTATCTTGTTTTTAAAGACAAAACTTTTAATAGTTATATAAATTAATCATTTCTTTTATAAATCATACTTAAATTATTTTTTTTTCCATACTTACAAAAAATATGAAATTCAGTATGCAAAGCAAATACTTTGCACACCAAACACCACAATCGAAGACCATTTTCGATGTTTTCGAAATTTTGGGGCTGTTTTTAATACAAACTCGAGCTGCAATTAGAAGAGAAGGGAAAAAAGACACGTATAATATCTGCCGGTAAGGTATTTCATTTTAATTATATTAAGATCTTTCTGCATTCATTTCAAGTGCCACACAAAGGAAAGTCTCAGGAAATGCATAAAATGTTCAATGGAAAAGCAAATATATAAGAAAATGGGAATGTGTGTGTGTGTGTGTGTGTGAGCGCGCTTGACAACTTTAGTAGTTATCAACTGAACTACGGTTCGTGTCCGTGACTAATAAATTAACATGTGAAGCTGGCGTACAAAATTTCATATGTGAAGTAAAACAAGAAAGGGAAAATTATGACTAAAAAATTAACTTAACAAATATTCTAATTAAAAGTTAATGAGTTGTAAAGCTTCTCAAATATATATTAATTGATTGCCGCATATAAATGGAAATTTAACTCATATTCCTTTCTATCTCTATCTGGGCTTCTGTTCCAGTTGTTGCCCTATCGCGAGCTTCTTTTTTTCAGCAATTAACTTGATTAATTTTTAACGAACTCAACTAGTTTAATTATTTCTTCATTCGCTCAATCTCGGACTTAAAGCGCTGCCTGTGACAGTCTCATAAACCAAATGAACTTTCTCATTAAGAGCAGCAACTACTTTAGAGCGGTTCTGGCTTACCCACTTCTCTCTCGCTCTCTCCCTCTCGCTCTCTCCCTCTCCCTCTCTCTCTCGTCGTGTCATTCCATATAAGCATGCTTTGACGCTCATAGGCACTTTTCTTTTCAGCTGCCTGCGTCAGCCGCAGCAGCAGCATGTTTCATATACCCTATAATCTCAAGTATGCATGGGCCATGTTGACTCTTAAGGCTCATGAATGAATACGAGCATAAATATTTACCCATTGCCTAATCAATGGTTTAGGCCACGCTTTAGATTAGCTAATCAGTGTACATACCCTGCGCGGGGCATACAAAAACAAGTTTTATTAACGGTATTCATTTGCTGAACAGCCCATAGAGTATCCAAGAGCTGTGCTCATTCGCCTCGAGCACTTTCAACTTGTTATAAACATGTTTTGCTGCCTTACCTAGTTCTATGCTAACGTTTATGCTGTGCAATTAACGAAATTTTATTGATCGGGAAATGGCTTTAATGAAATGTGCATGAGCGTGAAGTTAGCTGCGGCTGTGCGTGAAGCCAACGCCGGCAGTGCGTGAAGTTGGCTGCAGCTGAAAATTTATTTTGGCTGCGCTTCACATTTTAGCTTTAAAGCCAACAAATTGCTAGAAAATGTTGCTAGTGCAGAGATTTTCATGAATTGCACAATGCATAAACGCAGTTTGTGTGTGTGTGTGTGCGCTGACACACACACAAACAATGTCACGAGCCATTGATGCTAGAAAAGTAGAACAGTCAGCGGCTCAGAGGCTGTGGTTGCTGCTGCTGCTGCAGCTATTTCTGTTGTTGCCAACTGGCAAACATTTTGCTTGCCAAGTTTGGCCTAAAAGCAAGTCAGCTCCTTGCTGCCAGCACCTCCTTCTGTTCCGACAGCATAATCCTTTGGCAACCCACACTCACACACACAGGCATATACACACAAAGTGTAATCCAGTACAAGCCGAGTGCAGGTACTAAAATGCTTAAAGGTTTTATGCTGCCATACACAGAGAGAATGATAGAGAGAGAGGGAGAGATCATGAGAGAGAGAGAGAGAGAGAGAGAGCGAGATGGAGCCACAGCCCTGATTATGACCGACAACCCAACATCCGGCCACCCACTCAACAGTTAGGCAAATTTTTCTGTCTGTGGAAAATTTGTTGGCAAGCAACAAAAACAAAAACGAAAACAAAATAAAAACAGGCCAAGTTTTTAATTGCTTTTTTTTTTTGCCCATTGTTGAAAGCAAGCTGAGAAAACTCTCTCAGCTTTATGAGTTTTGCGAAAATTCTGACTGCTGGCTGACTGACATTGAGAGAACATGGCAAATAATTAATACGAAATTACACAACACATATTCTGCATAGTTAATGATAAAATAACCTAATCACATTTCCATTTGTCTGCCATTTGCCGTTTGATAAGAGCTTTGCGGTGCGCCAGGCTTAAGCACAGACAGAGAAGCCCTCAAAGGGTTTGCCGCCCAGTGCACTATGCTGCCTCACATATGCCAGGCGAGTGGCTAAGTGCTCGTCATTAGCATAGATACAGATACACTCACACACACACACATACATATATACGGCTGCGTTAAATTCTTGCAATTAGCTTTGAAGTGGCGCATGCAAAATATTAGCACATTTTCCCACAGCTAATCAAAGAGAGAATTCGAAACTCGAGTTACAACTCGAGGCATATTTTAATATCTATTTAGCTACGTCTCTCTCTCTCACTCGCCCATCGCTGCATCCATCTCAGTCTCTGTTTGCGTCTGCCTTGGCAACTCAACTATCGAAATTGGCATACAGTTTTAATTAAGGTCCTCCGCTCTGCACTCTAATTAAGTCGCATTTTGTGCACATACTTCCAGCGTTGTTAGCTAGATAACTGTGGATACAATCTGCTGGCAAGCCATATTTATAATTCACATATAACTGGAATACAATTCGATTTAGCTGCCGACTACAACAATACGGCGAAGTTCGTTGTATAACGGTGCAGATTGACTGCAGCATACTCGCTCAGATCTAAATTTTAGAGGTCTATCCTGTGCCTATCTTATCTTTTTAACTTTATCATATGATAATAGTTAATTATAACATGATATATTTTGCATCTTCTTTCAATTCGTCGAGATCTCAGGTGATTTTTAAGTTTAGCTCTAAGTCAATCTGTAGAGAAGACTATGAAGGAATATATATAATGAGTATGTAAATGAGTTTATATAGAAAGAAGTCAGAATATATACAGATAGACATATAGTCTAATATGTAGATATATAGTCTAATATCTACTACTCACAAATATATCGATAGATAACTCTCTGCCAACTCTGAGCCAACCCGGATATTACATGAAAGCCAATATGCTCACTTCACGCATGCATGAGCGAGCATAGAAATGAATTGCAAATTTGTTGGCAAAAACTAGGAGAGCTATTGTTAAACATTTGTTTATGATGTGCGCAATTAAATGCTTGCATGTAATTTAATATTTTTTTATTATTATTTTTTTTATACCCTGAACCCATTGAAAATGGGAAATCAGGGTATAATGGTTTTGTGAAAAAGTATGTAACGGGCAGAAGGAGGCGTGGCAGACCCCACAAAGTATATATATTCTTGATCAGCGCGACGAGCTGAGTCGATATAGCCCTGTCCGTCTGTCCGTCCGTCCGTCCGTCCGTCCTTCCGTCCGTCCGTCCGTCCGTATGAGTGCGTCGATCTCAGAAGTTATAAGAGCTAGAGAGCTGAAATTTGGTATGCATACTCGTGTGTACCATACGCAGTACGAGTTTGCTTTATTTTTTCGATAAATCGTCCGATAACTTTTTTATCGAGAATAATCGAAAAATTGATTTTGTTTTTTCAGCCTAATTTGAACAATTTTAGACCTGGAGTGTTCAAATTTGGGTTGTATATAAAGTTAATCGATACAAAGATTTTGTAATTTACAGATTTTGGATACCACGCCCCCTTCGCCCCAAATTTGTAAAAAACACATTTCAAGTACTAGAGACTTGTGCTTTGGAATGTACACACATATTCATCATATGATTACACTTTGAAAGTTTCATTAAGATCTTATGTCTACAAAAGAAATTATTCAACAGATAAATTCTCATAATGTTGCCCACACTGCAGCGCAGCCCAAGCGCAGTCGCTGCTTACTGCGCAGTTAGCAGAGCGCAGGCTTATGCGTGCGTGTGGATGCATGTGTATGTATGTGTGCATAAAAGTGCAGAATGATTAGAATATCAGCTTAGAGGGTTCAGGGTATCTCCTAGTCGAGCAGTCTCGACTAGAGCCTTCTTACTTGTTTGTATTTGTATTTGTTGTTTTCATCTTGCTATTTGCCATAGAAAGTTGTCGTACAATGCACATTTTGGGCGATGGTGGTGCAGGCTTGCGGTGGTTGGATTGAAGTGTGATTAAAATTTCTATTACAATGATGCGATGAGATGAGATTGAGAGCTGAGACTGAGGCTGGGGCTGAGAGACTTGCGCAGGTAATTTATTTGTTGTTGCGCCTCGAAATGGGTTAAAGAAAGTCGTTAGTTGTATTAATTAAAAGGCAAAAGTTAAAAGGTTTTTTCTGCTTCTTCTTCTTCTGTTGCTGTTGTTGTTTTTGCAACATGTTGAAACTTCTTTAACTGCTGCTCGCTCTTGGCGTGCATGGTACAAGTTTTTGAAGTCTAGTCTTAGACGAAAATAAATGATTTCTTTGGACTCTGTTGGACTCGTTTCGTTCTCATTGAAAGGGCTGAGCTGAGGGGCTCAGTCGTACTTGTCACGTCGCCTCGTCTGCTTGCCAAGAATTTAGAAATTGTATTTATTGACAATGCTTTCTACTTTGGAACGAAACTACAATTCGTTCGGCTCAGAGCATAGAATCGTAAAAGACCAAAGAAAATAAAAACAAACTCTCATGCTCATGAAACCAAAAGTGCTTGCAGCTTCTATTTCAGCTCTTCCATCAGCGGCTTCTGCTCATCTTCAGCGTGAGAAAGATTTACATTTCTCTAGCGCGGCTTCTCTGCTGCTCTTTGGGTGGCTTGTGCCTGGCAATTAAATGATTTACTTTATAATGAGACTTAATTGGGTCAGCAGGGTCTGCTCATGATACCTGCCGTCACCCGTCTATCTGCCCTTCCGTTCCCACACACTATGTAATTGCCACAAAATCTGCACCGTTAAATGCAGTTGGCTTGGGATAATCCCCACTCCCCCCCACTCCACTGCACTCACTCCTAATTAACATATATCATACTCAACTACTTCATTTAGTTGGCAATTGCAGGCATGTGGGAACTGCTAGTGCCTTATATAAGAACAAAAAACCAGAGCTGCTCCAGGCATCTGTTTGAGTCTCTGTGA